TTTGGGACCTCTTCTGTAGGTGTGGCCTGCTTTCCGGGTCCACTGGTGGAACCTCTTCTAACAGGGTCAGTAAATTTGACGAACCGGTTCTACCGAATAGGTGCGAACCGGCTGAATCCCACCACTGCTTCTCACCCATGAAGCTTCTTCAGCTCTGACTGGATGGTGGGGAATGGAAGGATTGATACTCCTTGCAGACAGCTGGTCCTTTGCATCCTGTTTAGGGAGTCGTTGAGGCCACTTGAGGGTTTCTCTGTATCCTCAGGGTCACCATGGGTGGGGAGCTTTCTTGGAACTGTTGAAAGGACTCTGTCGTAGACTGGAGATAGGTGATGTCATGTCCCTCCCCTTTTGTTGACAGAGGGCTGTTCAGTTTTGACATAGAGGGCCTCTTTGAACCCCTCTTTCAAACCAGCGGTCTTCCCTGCCCAAAATGTGGACCGTCTTTGGACAGACGTGTGTTGGCTTAATGACCACGTACCCATTTCACGAGCACAGTGTTCATTGAATGAGAGCTGCAAAAATGATCACAACATTGGGTCGGTGATGTGGGTGCCTCGACGTACGACCCTCGTGACATACGATGGAACTTCTGGGCTCCCTTACGGTCGTAAATCGAGGACAACCTGTCAAAAGGACTGGGTATTTGACTCCCTCGGATTTGGGACACACTCACCTTGTTTGCAAGCTGTGACATTCAGGATTCCAGACCCCGTACAGTGTCCGGCAGGGACACAGAATCCGGCGTTGTCTGGGTTAACCGAGACATTGGCAAAGATTGCCAAGGGAGGTGTAAATCGGTAAGTTTGAATTCCCAAAACGGTTAACTCTTCCTCGAAGGTTAGATAGATGGATCTGGAAAAGAACAAAATGATATTAAAAAATCTGCACGCAAGGCCCTAAGTCAGTGATCTTTTTTGGCTCCCGTGCCAAAAGCGAGGGAAGCGCAGTGGGGTCGTGAACAGGCGTGCCATAACCATAATGCTATGCGCGCGACCAGAAACACCCCCACCCCACTTTTGGCACCGTTTTTTCGTCCTCCCCAGGCTCCAGAGGTTTTCTAGTCCCTTCCGGTTTGCTCGTAGGGCCGGTTTTTGGGAGGCCAAAAATGCTGTATTCAGTGTATAAGACGCATCCTTATTTTCACCCTCTTTTTTTGGGGGGGGGGGGAAGGTGCGTCTTATACTCTGCAAAATACGGTATGTTTCAGCCTTGAATTCCAGGCAGCTGCTTCCCGCTCGCCTTACCTGCAGAAATCTGTAGAGAAGATATAAAGCATTTCATCTTTGGAGAGGAGCGGGTGAAACGTCCCTCCGTCTGTCCCATTGATCATGTTACAGCTGGGTGATGTCCACCAGTCCAGATTGCTGTCAGGAGAAAAGATCAGAAGGAATCAAGGATTAGTTTTACGAGATGAGAGAGATTTTCCCGCCGGGTTGAAGATCAAAAGGACCTCTTTCATCCAGGATCTGATTATTTCTCCACAGAAATTGTGAAAGCAAAGTCTGCGATCTAATTAGACTTGGGTTTTTCAAGACAGGGCAAATATATACTGGCGATCCCTAATACAAACCCACTCAGAATAGTTTTTTTTTCCACCCAAGCCGCCTTCTTTCTTCATCGTGATTATGGGTTTTCCCCAAAACTCATCTCGCCAAAAAGATAAGAGCCGATGTTCCTTGAAGCATCTTCCTACTTTTTCTGTACTTAATCAGAGGCGCTGAGGAAGGAATCATTCTTAAAATTCTTATCAAGATTGAGTCTGTGAAGAAGGGAGGTTTAACTCATGGAGACTCAACAGCAGCGTCTGAATATTTATTTTATTTTTTTTAATATTAAGAATCTTTGGGAAGGAGAGGAAAATCCACTAGATCTAATGAAGCATTTTGGAATAGGAGGTTTGGTCTAGGGGTTAAGGGGCTGGGCCTAGAAACCAGGAGACAGCAAGTTCTAGTTCCACTTTAGGCATGAAAGACAGCTGGGAGACTTTGGGCCAATCACCAGGAGACAGTAAGTTCTAGTCCTTCGTTAGGCATGAAAACCAACCGGGTGACTTTAGGCCAGTCACCAAGAGACAGTGTTCTTGTTCTGCCTTAGGTATGAACACCGGCTGGGTGACTTTGTGTTGCGGCCCGTCAGCAGAGCTGGCGGCAGATTCGTCCCATCAGATCGCACAGAGTGGGCCTCCTCCGAGTTTCATCCGCCAGTCAGTGCCGACTGGCGACTACGTGGAGGAGAGCCTTCTCAGTAGCAGCCCCGACCCTTTGGAACGATCTCCCAGTGGAGATTCGCACCCTGACCACAGTCCAGAGCTTCCGCACAGCCCTTAAGATCTGGCTATCCCGTCAGGCCTGGGGATAAGACCTTCATACACCCCACCCGAATGTTGAATGAATGTTGTGTTTTATTGCTATTATTATTTGTACTCACATATTATTTTTACGTTTTGTCTTGCACCCCCTTCCCATGAGTTGTAAGCCGCCCTGAGTCCCCTCAGGGAAAAGGGCGGCCTATAAGTGACAATAAAATACAAATACAAATACAAAGATTCGGACAGTGAGGAGGTTGGGGAGGAACGTGGGCCGGTCCTGGAATCTGGGGAAGGCTCTGACGAGGGCTCTGTGTCGGACGCAGAGAGGGGGCCAGGGCCGTCTGGCAGTTATCAGCTGCCTTCAGAGTCAGACATCAGTGAGGCAGCAGAACAGCTGGAGCCTGTTCCCAGTGTGCGCATGCGCAGAGTTGCCAAAGGGAACAGCTGAGGAACAAGGGTCGATGGGAGTAAGGCCACAGGTGGATGATGAATGGCCTCTCCCATAGGGAATAAATAGGAGGAAAAAGGGAGTGGAGTTTGCAGGAGACCATTAGTTCGCTTAATTGGTTCGTGACTCCCCGAGACTCCTTGCCAAGTTTTGCAGAGATCGGCCTGGCAGCTCTCCAAACCAGATAAGGTCTGTGACTGTAAATCCTCCTTCGAAAAACTTTGCTGGATGTGAATGAGCAGAATTCACAGTCATTTAATAAAAAGGTTTTTTTTGTCGGGACAAGGAGTTGGCTTCATGCTCTTGGAAAGCCTCAGTCAGAACACTTTGAGCCAGTCACCATGATACTCTGAATTCTAGTTCCACCTTAGGCATGAAAGCTGGCTGGATGATTTTGGGCCAATCACCAAGATGGCGAGTTCTAGTTTTGCCTCAAGCAAGAAAGCTGGGTAAGTGACTTTGAGCCAATCACTAGAAGAACAGTGAGTTCTAGTCCTGCCCTAGGCGTGAAAATCCTGTGAGGTAAATTGGGCCAGTCACTCTCCACAGCCCAATTTACCTCACAGGATTGTTGTCATGGAGAAAACAGGAGGAGGGAAGGAGTATTAGGGATGTTCCCTCCTCCTCCACCATCACATCCACCCTTTGAGTTAATTAGAAAGAATGATGAAGGCGGGATAAAAATCAAATGAATGAATTAAACTGTAAGGCGAGAATTACAACGTGCCCCGCCACAGAGATAAAAGAAGACGAGTGAGGAAGAAGAAAAGAAGGAACAAACATTACTCTTTGCCATTCCATTCAATTACTCTTGTGAAGTCCAGATAGTTCTTTTCACCAGATAACATGAGATATTCACCATCATCTGTCGCATTCATCTACAGAGGAAACAAAAAAAAAAGCAAGAAACAATTTTTACTTTTCAAAATGGCCCCAAACGGGAATAAAATATACACATATTAAGAGGCGAAGATTCAGGACAATTTGTGTACGTGGCAGCATTCATGGTTTATTGAAGCCCACGTCCAAGAATCTGGCCAACTAAATGGTCAGCACTAAATTGGTGCCGGATTAGGGGTCAATAAGACGCGGTGGCTCAGTGGCTAAGACGCTGAGCTTGTCGATCAGAAAGGTCGGCAGTTCGGCGGTTCGAATCCCTAGCACCGCGTAACGGAGTGAGCTCCTGTGACTTGTCCCAGCTTTTGCCAACCTAGCAGTTCAAAAGCACATAGAAATGCAAGTAGAAAAATAGGGACCACCTTTGGTGGGAAGGTAACAATGTTCCGTGTGCCTTCGGCGTTGAGTCATGCCAGCCACATGACCACAGAGACCTCTTCGGCTTTGAAACGGAGATGAGCACCACTCCCTAAAATCAGGAATGACTAGCACATGAGTGCGAGGTGAACCTTTACCTTTACTAAGGGGTCAATGGGATTCAATCAGGGTGGTGTTGGGTCTCTTGTGGTAACTCAAGGACTCTAAACTGATGACATGTTTTACTCCACCCTCTAGCTCTGCCTGCTCTTAGCTCTACGTCCTAAGTCAGTGATGGTGAACCTTTTCAGCACCGAGTGCCCAAACCAGAATGTGTGTACATGCGTGTGCGCGCGCTGGAGTGCCAGGAACCCGAACATCAGCTGGTTGGCATGCACATGCCTGATTTTTCAGGAAGTTTTCAGGTAGTTTTTGGGGCCATTTTAGGCCCGATTTTTGGCCTTTTTCGGGCCAAAAACGAACCAAAAATCAGCCTGAAAACAGCCAAAAAATGGCCTGTCACAGAACTAGGCCTCAGGTCTTATTTTTCTCTCTTTAAAAAAAAAACACTCTTAAAATTGTCATAAACCTCGTGGAAGTCTAATGCATGTACTTTATTTTGCTTCCTCACAATATATCCTGTGCCAAAAAGAGACCGGCAAAGCTTATCAATTGCCTTTTTTTCTGCCCTCTTAAGGGGAAAAAAAAAATCTATCGAGAAAAAAAGACAGTGGCAGCCAGCTGCCTGAAAGGGCCGCTGTTATTATTCTCATTTAAAAGAGACAGGGAGCCACAATGAGATGCTAATAAGCAGAATATCCAGGAGACATTGGAGTCTATATTGGACAAGCACAGCATATTTTAATCGCTGCCCTGTTTAAAAAAACAGCAGGAGTAACAATCCTCAAGCAATATTCATCAGGAGCAGCCAAGGCTGACTAGGTAAGCATTTTCATACTCGCAAGGTAGCACAGGACTTCGATGGAAAGCTGAGGAAGGGGAAGAAAAGAATATAAAGCTGTTTCGCAGGGGGGTCCCAACCGCTGGGATACTAGTGGGCTGCAGCTCCTTTGGAAGCGGGCTGCAAAAGCGGCGAGTGAGCAGGCCACCGGTGAAGGGAAACACGCATCAAATAAAAGCAAAGATATAAGAAGGGTAGCCGATGTACCCTTGACGACAAAAATGTTTACCTGTGCAAAATAGCCGAAAACCGGATCGACGCTGGGGAAAAATTTGTGTACCGCCTGCAGAAACCTATCCGTGTAGCCCCATAAAATCTCTTGCACTGTATGGATGGTGAACATATCCTCTTCGTAGGCCAGTAGCAATAGCTCGGCAGGAAAATGGAAAGGCGTTCTCCGGGCCATATTCATGGCCGTCTTGATACGAAGGAAGGGAAAAAAAGAGAGACGTTAAGACTTTTCTTATTATAAAATTGTTATCTGTAACAAGAGGAATTTATGGGTTTGCTGGTAGTCCCCAACTTACAATCGTTCATTTAGTGACTGTTTAAAGTTGCAGCGGCGCTGAAAAAAAAGGGACTTATGGCCGTTTTTCATACTTTCAGGTGGTCAAAATTTCCACATTCAAGTTGGTCAAATTTTGGACATTTGGCAAATGGTTCATATTTATGGCGGCTGCAATGTCCTGGGATCGGGTGATCCTGTTTTGTGAACTTCCGCCAAGCAGAACCAATGGGGAAGCCAGATTCACTTAACAACGGTGTTACTAACAATTGCAGCGATTCTTTCATAATAATATTATAATAATTCTTTATTGTCAGTGCACAACATATATATGTACAATGAGATTGGTTGAGCTCCCACAATACACCGCCCCAACACAATACAACCTCCCCCCCCCCCAAACGCTTAACAATTGCGGCAAGAATGTAAAATGGGGAAAAACTCAACAACTATCTCACTCAGCCACGGAATGTTTGGGGTCAATTGTGGTCATAAGTTGAAGCCTACCTGTATTTTTCTCCCCATTACGGTGATCACTGAGGGGGAGGGGGAAGCTAACAGTTAACACAACCGTGTTACAGATTTAACCACAGCAGTGCTTCACTCAACAACTCTGGCAAGGAAAGTCGTAAAATGGGGCGCAACTCCCTTAACAACTGTCTTGCTTCGCAACAGAAATTTGGGACTCAATGGTGGTCCGAACTGGAAGACTGCCTGTATTTTATCAGGTACCCAATAAAAACATGGAAAATGTAATTGATGGGCAGAACGAAAGTTATAAGGTACCGTATTTTAGGAGTATAAGACGCACCGGAGTATACACCGCCAAGGTTTTGAAGAGGCAAATTTTAAAAAAAAGTTTTTGCACTCTACAAACCTCCCAAAAAGGGCCCGTTTTTCATGAAAACGGGCCTATTATTATTATTATTTTTTAAGAGGGCATGAATTGCCTTTAGGAGGCTTTTAAAGTGCTCCTGGGGGGTGGGGCCCTAAAAAACTGAGCAAACAATGGCCCGTTTTTTGCGAAAATGGGTCCATTTTTTATCAAAAAAAGGGCATGCATAGTCTTTAGGAGGCTTATAGAGTGCTCCTGGGGGCAAAAGTGAGCAAAAAGCCCATTTTTCGCTCATTTCTGCCCTCCCCAGCCTCGAGGAGCTCTCTGAAAGGCTCCTAAAGGCTATGCACAGCCATTTTGGTGAAGGGGCGGGGTTTCAGGAGGCCAAGAATGCTGTATTCAGTGTATAAGACGCACCCAGATTTTCAGCCTCTTTACGGAAGGAAAAAAGTGCATCTTATAGTCCAAAAAATACGGTAGTTAGTCGCTGCTTTAAATTTTTTTTCCCTTTTGGCCTCATTTTGCTACCCGGTAACAAATCTCAAGACTTACCACTGCGGGCAAGTTTACTGTCCGGATCCGATCCACTTCTGGGTCACCCACGGAGAGTTCTCGCTCAAAATAGTAAGTGGTTGGTTGGAAAGAGGACACCTTTGAGCCGTTCTCCAGAATGTGTACGTCCCGTCGAACTTTCCACTCCCTGGCACAAAAAGAGCAAGAGGGAAAAAAAATGCTGTTTTCTACCACCAATGTTTTCCAAACTAAAGTCATATAAAACCCAACTCCTAAGGAAAGTCGAGGTTACGGTTTTGTCGGCAAATACTATCTCCATGCTCACCTTAAATCAGTGTATGTCAAACGTGGCCACTTGGTTTGGGCCGATCACCAGGAGACTGTGAGTTCTAGTCCCGCCTTAGGCATGAAAGGCGGATGGTGACTTTGGGCCAATCACCAGGGGACTGTGAGTTCTAGTCCCGCCTTAGGCATGAAAGGCAGATGGTGACATTGGGCCAATCACCAGGAGACTGTGAGTTCTAGTCCCGCCTTAGGCATGAAAGGCGGATGGTGACTTTGGGCCAATCACCAGGGGACTGTGAGTTCTAGTCCCGCCTT